ATTCAGAGTAGAGGCTCACAGCTCGCTTTCAGGACTATTTTTCCAGTCTGATGAGTCGCTGTCACGCATTGCTGCGGATATCTCTGTCAGGACACCGACTGCAGGCACTGGATTTCAGCTAAAGAGCTCCTCTCCATCTGTTTCAGGTTAGTGGACATCATTCAGTAAACTGTCCCGTTGGGAAATATGTCGCTACGTCACACAGTGGAGTTTCTCTGATTGGTTGATGCTGCGCGTCGAGCTGCAAAAGTTCAGATTTTCTAACTTCAGCGATTTGCGCCTCAGCGCGTCGAACGCTCAGATCGTTCAAATCGCGCTGCTCTAATCGCGCTTGAGGCGCCGCAGCACTTCCCGACGTTGCTTGAAGCGCCTCCACCATAGACTTTGCATGTAAACCTGAGGCTCCTGATGCTGAAATCTTGTTCGGTGTGAATGCACCATTAGCCATACAATGCCCACTTTCCATCCCTTCTGCAAGGTGCCCAGGTCCTGTGGCTGCAAAACAAGCCCAAATCATCACACCTACACTATAATTTTTTCACACAAGGTTAGATTTCATTAATTACAGGACCTGGTATAAATAAATAAATAAAAACACGTCCTGATGCCTAAAACCCTGTACTGGAAAGGAAGCCTTTCATATTCCCTGTGAATGCTGTAGCAGCTACCTTGTGGTCTGTTCCAGTCACAGCTAGGGACACAGCTAATCAGTATTCCGATGCAGGCAGACGACAGCCTCCTCACTCCACGTTCAGCTGGAAGGGAAGTGATACAGGAAGCTCTGCGTTGCCAAAGAGGGGACAGGGTGGTCTGCACAAACCTGGATGTGACTGTGCGTGTTGTGGCATTTCTGGTCCCTGCAGACCTCTTCACAATGTGGCAGCTGGGAATGCTGTGGAGGCTGGTGGCTGTCACCAGCACATACCCAGCCCACTGTGATGTAAAAGGGGGGTTTCTCCTCCTACGCCTCCTCCTCCTCCTCCTTCCTCGGTATGGATCGGGCTGAGATGTCTTATTATTCCCTAATAAAACCATTACCCACTTCAAAAAAGAAAGAAAAAACACCCGAGCAAGTTGCATACATATTTCAGACAAGATGGTATTTCTCCTCAGTGCTACTTTTAGTAGTCACGGATCCAGCAGTGGATGACATCATTGGGATTTTCAGCCCGAGCAGCTCGCCCCCCTCTACAACCATTGATGAAAAAAAACGTAGTAGCCTTATGTAGTACAGCACATTTTCTGTCTTTTGCACTCAGACTCACACGATGTTTATATTAAAAACAATGTTCTCAAATTGTTCAAGTGGATATATCACAACATCTGGACTGAAAACTTACTTTATAACACGACTACGCGACCATACTGTTTGACCATCGTACGTTTGCTGACGGGAAACAACACGAGGATCGTATATGTGTGCGTTCAAACTGGATTAAAGCCGATTTAGCACCTCGTCTTTTGTCTTGTCGTGCATCTTGGAGCCCGTTTTAATTGAATTTAGCGCTGGAGCGACCTCCCACACCGTTAGTCTTTACACTGAGGTTTGCATAGGAAGAGACTTACCCTAAAATGACCAATTCTCCGTATTTTATCGGCTCTTTAACGGGCACATCATCGTCTCCGTCTTTTTTCGGTGAATTCATCAGACTGGACTTTTCCAAAAATAATTGAGAAAAGGCTAAACGAGCGTGTCCACTGGTAGAGAAATGTAATCAGAGGATGAGAAAGATAAAACAATGCTAACACACTCTCGGAGCTGGGAGGGAAGTGGTTCAGGCTGGAAGTCTTATCAAAGTTTGGGCACACTTGAAGAAAGTTTGCCCGGACTTCTTGGTGTTCGTTTTATTGTTTTCATCCCGTAAAGGAGCATCTTTTCGTCCCGTTAAAGCCAGCGGGAAGCTAGTTTGTCTCGCGGTAAATCTGTTCAGTAGCATAGGGTACAACAGCAGCTAAAGGCAGGGTGTGGAACGTACCAACTGTTATGGGGGGGGGAATCGGTCTCAAATTATCTTAAAATATGCGACACAACAACATTTTCAGTTAAAAGTGAGTGTTTAGTGGTTTTTAAAAATTAAAAAAAGTTCATATAGGTGTTATATATCAAAATGACACGACTATATTTTAATTTGTGAGTGAGTTGAACTCTATGTCTCCCCCGTTAAAGTATGAATGGACGATTCCATGATGAGACGCTGGCTCCCACAGATTAAATTGAGGCGTTTGGAAATGCACGCAGGAGGTATCTGCAGGCATGTTGAGGCGTCCTGGTATATTTAAAGTAATAGATCAACTCTTTTGTTTGAATATGTGGCTATAGTGTGCCACTAGTCTTATGGTTCATTACAGAGTCTGACGTAATGAGGTTCTTCAGAGGGGGGGGTGAAATGGTAGAGGCTGGATGTGGGTCAGCAGACAGTAGCTCTCCTGTGCATCTGCTGTGAGATCTGAGGCCAACTGGAGTTTACAAGCGCCTTCAACACCCATCTTGTACGTTGCTCTTTCTCCCACATGCACACACTCATAAAGTATAGTAAAGTGCAATGTTGTAACCACATGAGGGCAGTGCAGAGGCAACACTGCAGTCTATGAGCCAACATKACCAAATTAAGTTGTGACCTTAAACTAAGATGTCTGTAATACATCACAGGGTGCTTAAACTACTTATTTGTTTTATGCATTCAGCTTATTGCATGTTTGTCCTCCAAGTTTTGAGTTGCTACGATATGAGTGGAAAAAAGTTTTGAGAGGATGAATCATTTTAACAGTGGTGTGTAGATGTTTTATATATATTATAGGTATTTTTGACCTACTTATATTAAAACAACTGTGGTGTCCTGTGCTGTGAACTTTTAAGGGATTATTTCTGCTCATTTGAGCAAGTGAGCAACACAGATAAGTCACACACATGTGATGGCCTGTTCAAAGCATTTTCACACTGACCTCCACAACTCTTATTAGTTCACTGTTACTTATTTTATGGGATAAGGTATATATATATATAT